AAACCCTATTACAAGTAGAGAAACTGATAGCGAACAGCATGGATCCAGATCAGACTTCGCGGATGTATTTCTTACCTAGATCAGCGGAGTTACTTAAAACAAAAAGACATACAAAAAGAATGATTAAAAATATACTCAGAAATAAATTGATAATCGTATTTGTATGGCATTCTTATCCCATTTGAGTAATAAGCGGTGCAACGCTTTTCAATTTTCTGTCATTTTTCACAATTAGAATAAATAACCTGGAAAACACGGAGTGAGCGAATGACCTGAAATTTTGACTTCAAACTAACACATGTTATCCCCTTTATTTTCGTTTCTGCGCAACAAGGTGCGTCATAACTTCTTTATTCAATTGGTCCCTTAACTCAAATACCATCTTTAAACTTTCCTCTAGGATTTTCATGCAACGTTTGCAAATGTTTGTCATCCCTTCACCTCTTGTCATTCCAACAACAAAATCTGAAGCCCGCCGAAAATGCCCAGAAACTCTGCGCTCTAGACGTCTATCGTCAACTTTGGCAAAACGTATTACATTTTTCCCCGAACCGCCAGCTCTTGTATCAAAATCAATACCATATTGTTCGTTCAATTCTCCGGCTAATTTATACATAGTTTTGATTGTTGTTAAATTGTCTTTGTCAATTCCAAACAGCTGTTGTTGAAACATGATCTCTTCTTGTAGTATCTTCTTTCGTTCATCAACCGTTTTAGCTTTTGAAGCCTGAATTCCCTTCTCGAGTATTCTTTTCTCTAAGAGTTCTTTTTTTGAATTCATTATCTTTCCTGTGTGCGTCAAGTCAAAAGAAAATGGAATTTCTCCAATCTTTGTTGATTCGGCCATTGGTAGAAGTTCATCTTAAAAATATTTTTAAGAGTATGAAACGTCAAACGCTAAAAATATATTGTAGAATTTCGCCAACCACAAAAAAAATGTTCACCCTTGTCAACCAAGTACTTACTACTGACTAAATTGACTAATTTCATTACACGTAAGGAGATTGTTAAAAGTAAACAAAACAAGGCGAACACATTTTCATAACAAAGCATAATAAATATAAGAAAGACAATTATAAACCGCTCCACAAACGTATCTTCACGCTCAGAAAGTACAATGGGAATGAATTAATACAAAAATCTTATCGACATTGATACAAAATTACGACAATGTTTTTGACATTCTTCCTTAAGGTAATTAAAAGAAATTGTTTCGAAAGAAGACACAATATCTATGATCCGATTGATTTCTTCTGGTACTGTTAAATGATATGTTTTCGCGAGTCCGAAGTTTTTCGCGGGCAAACTAACAGTCGATGTACTTTAAGTTTTGTCATGTTTACACGATTCTTAGATGTTTAATGAACATTATTTTCCCCAAAAGTCTGGTTTTAAGGTCACTTTACAAATGTCTATTTAACATACTAGCTTTTGACACACATGTTCCGTTAAAACTATATGAGGAACAACATGTGTATAAAAAAGAAGTGTTGAAAAGTGCTGATGAACACTCAAGAGAGTAAACCATTATAGGTATATTTTGATTTACATACAACTTATGTTTCTGATGCTCAGCTTGGTAATCGAAACATTGTTTAACTAATGTCTGCGAATGTTTGTTCCCAACATTTCTGATTTTCTGTCATTTCTTTTCTTTGTCATGAGGTGTGACATAACTTCTTTATTTAATTTTTCACGTAAGCTATATATCATCTGCAAACTTTCTTCAAGAATCTTTATGCATTGTTTACAAATATAAGTGGCCCCTTTATTACCTTTAACTTCCAAGACAAAATCAAAAGCCCGCTGAAAATACGTACAAACGCTGCAAGTACCTCGGCTATCGTCGACTTTGTCAAAACGTATTACATTTCCCCCAGAACTGCCATGTCGTTTGTCAAATTCAATTGTAAAATCTCCAATCAAACCTTTGGGCAAGTCGTACTCAGTTTGGTATTTGGCCAAACTGAATTCATCCATTCCAAAAACCTCTTGCTGAAATTTGATTTCTCGTTTTAGGATCTCCTTTCTCTCATCAATGGTTTTAGCTTTTGAGGCTCGAAGCCCTTTGTCTTTTATTCTCCTCTCCATCAATTCCTTTTGTAACTTCATAACGTCGTCCGTATGCTTCAGATCAAAGGAAAAGGAAATGTCTCCAATTTTTGCCGACTCGGCCATTGGCAGGAGCTGGTCTTGCAAAGCTTCAAACTCGAAGAAGTTATTAAAACTATCATCAGTATCAACAAGGAATATTTTACGATTGGTTACTCCATACGCTTTAATGTTCAGCTTACAATTTTCCCTTATCTCTTCTAATATTTGTAACTTGTTTTTCCTTAATGTTGCTAGTTTAGTTCCATCAACACACTTCCCGATACAAGTACGAACAAAAAAACATGGCTTCCCCGTTTGCAGAACGTCTTTAATAAGCCAATTATCAGATTCCATGAAGCTTTTCTCTGACAATATCAAGAAGAAGTCGTACCGATCAAAGCCTGTGCCATTTTGATCAGTGATCTGTTTGGTGTCTTGTATTTTTTGTCCAGGAAGTTCCCACAGCTTTACATTAGGATTTTCAGGAAAGTCATATTTCATCACTTGCTTATTTGTTACACTATCGTCTACGACTGCACCCCCCGATGGAATGTTTCTAAGGCGGTTAATAACAGAAGATTTACCTGACTTTGGTTGACCAATTACCGCTATATTGATTTCCACAGACTGTCCTATCACTAAACTATGCTCTAATTGCCATTCGTTCTCTATTTCTATTGCATGTTCGATTTCGTCACTAGTTTTCGTAATGTTCACAGAACAAGAAGCCATATTGAAGATGGTCTTTGCGACTGAAAACAAACACTTTTGAATTAAAATATTAAGAATTTGGATTCTGTTGTTCCCGGTACTTTTTAAGTAAGTTTTACTCTAATTCATCGTGTAGTAGCATGTGATGAGTAAATAATAACTATATATATCAATTAATGCTTGAGACAAACTTAGTTTTACTGCCTAACTGGTCGCAAATCTGTTTTAAATCTGCAGTCTATAGTTTCGAAGTTACTAGTATATCAAGATATGCTGGTAAGTCCTTAAGTTTTAATTCTTTAAAGTAAGTATCTTATGCATGTATTTATCATTAGGGTCAGCGTTAATGTTAAATTTAATCTTTAACTCAGGAAGGTAATATGTGTACATGTTATAGTGTGTAAAAACAATTTTCTAAACGATCTACTGTCTACCCTCGAACATATTACATTATGTAAAAAAGACTTTTGACGTTTTATTTCACCAAAATGTACATAAAAAATGTGACATGCCAACCCCTTTTACTCACTAGCAAGAGATCTATAGACCTTGCCTTTCTCCGACCATAATAACCAAGGTTTGTGACCATATTCAGAACAATCCCAAACAGAAACAAAATAATAATAATAAATATAACAATTATAAACCTTCATCCAAAGAAACACCAAAAAAACTCCCTCAGAAACAACAAAAAATCAAACAAACAAAAACAACAAAATAACAAATACCTGGATGTGTGCTTTCGTTCTCTTTAAATGCGAAACAAGAAAAACTGGTATCTCCGTTTTAGATGTTTCAGAAAATAAAGCTTATGTCACGTTTGGTACTATTTAAAGGATAAATCTTTACCACTTTATCAATATATTGTTTGGCAATAGTGACGTGTAACATTTAAAGATCTAATTAACTTTTGTCGATAATTATCAAATTCCGAAGTAAATATTACCGATTTTAAAGTTTGGAATAACTGTATACATGATTTATGTGTAACACAACCCTTGCTAAATAGCCTTAATGACAAGAAGTAAAGATTCAGTTTCAATTTGAAGGTAAAGTAAGTTCGAATCTTATGCGAAACTTGATAACTATGTTATTTTGTGCCAAACACCCATTGTACGACATAACATATTGAAATTAGGTAAAATTACATAAACATGGTTATCAAAGTTATACAAAAACACAGCGGAAAAAATTATTTTATATAATTAAAGAAAGATGAAATAATTCTGAAACAAATAGTATATCGAGGATTCCGCGACTGCAATGCCATCCTACTTACCACGAGGCAATCAGGTCACAATTATGCCAATGAAAGTATCGAGAACTTTAATATCATTGATAATCATTTGGTAAATCGTAATGATTTAAGTAAACCTACGAAAAAATACTCCCGAAAATTAATCAGTTTCAGGTCAATATTGCCAAACATAATAAGATCATATTTAATCGCAATTAGATATTCTATGTTGTATACTTTATCACCACCATGTACATGTATCTTTATGATTTATTTCGTAATGCTCCGGTTATGGACCTGTACCAAAAATGAGCAATGATATGCAGGTCCGAATTAACTACTAATTAACATGTCAAGTGGTTACCGATTTTACACTGGTCGATATACAGTAATGATTGTAAGATGTACGCGATAAGATGTGTTTAAATTTTTGCGTATACTAAACGTTACAGTGCAGTAGAGTAAACTACGTTTTTTTGTTTTTAAATTTCTACATGTGTTACGTATTCTAAGATCGAGACCACGTAGTTCCATGTTTTTTATTAATATTTTCAACAATATTGGAGCTATTCGACTATATTTAGGTTCATAAAGGCGTTTTGAGAGTTTTTACTGTTTTGTTATAGTATGTTTGCATTTAACATGGTCCCCTTTTCTCAAAATAACATCATTTAAAAATAAAAATCTACTATCAAAACTAACTGAAGCAATAAATGATGGCTCAATTCAGTGTAGTACAAAACGAAACGAGACAGAGCAGTAAAAATTAAAATGGATCAAATGGAAGAAATGAAAACAACAAAATTACATGAAAATAACAGACTTGATTTGATTGTGTCTTTTCATGTAGGATAATGGAAAAACTCAAATTGACCTAGATGATTTTAATTTCCTTAAAAAATATTATAAATTATGCGAACATTGTAACTGCTCAGCAAGGGATAACACTATATTTTTCTTTGAACCATTATTCATTTTATTAGATTTTGAAATAAGAAAGAGAAAGAAAGATGGTTGACTCATTTATTAATGTTTATGAGTCAAAATTAACCTCTTGTATTTATTCAACAAGTGTTTTTCTATAAGACTTGATTAAGATAGCTCACTGGCCCTCAATGCTATTGGTTCGAATCACATCATGGACTTTGGATACTTTCTTTTTAGAAAGCTATCAAGTAATAGTTACCGTGTGACGAACACGTCTACACAGTACAGACTTGTATGGCGATCCGAAAAGCGACTGAGGCTTTCGTTTCCATCTGAAATACAGCACAAAGACACCAGATGTATTCAGTCCACCAGTCAAGCTATAAAAATATGGAAAACGGTTCATCCCTCGGAAGCAATGAAAATAAGATATTATTTGAGAATTGCAGACCCGGTTAGATTGAGTCTATTCATGTGAGAGATTATGTAATACGCAACATCTCTAGCACCGCCTTAAGTGGTATTCGCTCTTCAACATTAATTTGCTGGAAATAATAATCCCGAAGGACCAGAGAAAACACTGAAGTGACTTATGGGGAAACGGTTTACAGCTTCCACACGGCGCTTGACACCTGCCGTTATGAAATATAAAAATCTGGAAAAGGGGTGAAAAATCGCCATTTGTCCATTACTAAAACGTAGTGATTTAAAATTTGTTTGTTTATTAAAGTTATGAAATGGTAAATTATGCTATAATTGCCATACTGAAATTTGATTAAGACATTGTACAGTTTTGAATAGAATTACATAGAATTATTACATTTTGTTTACACTAGCTAGCTTAAAATCACACACATCCAGAAAACTTCAGAAGCGCACATCAAAACGTAATTAACATAAGAATGACAATTATAAACAGCATCACATACATGTCTTCACGCGCAGAGACATGAGAAAAAAATTCACAATAGAAATGAATTAATACAAAAATCTTATCGACATTGACATAACGTAACGAAAATAATATTTTTAACATTCTTCCTTACGGTAATTAAAAAAAAATGTTTCGAAAGAAGACACAATATCTATGATGGACCGATAGATTTCTCCTGGTACTGTTAATTTATATGTTTTCGCGGGCAAAATCAACGTTTCAGACTTACTGTCGATGTACTTTAAGTTTTGTCATGTTTACACGATTCTTAGATGTTTAAGGAACATTATTTTCGCCAAAAGTCTGGTTTTACAGTCACTTTACTAGTGTCTATTTAACATACTAGCTTTTGACACACATGTTTCGTTAAAACTATATGAGAAACAACATGTGTATGAAAAAGAAGTGTTGAAAAGCACTGATGAATACTCAAGAGAGTAAGTATTTCTCATTATAGGTACATTTTGATTTACATATAACATCTGTTAGTGATGGTCAGCGTGATAATCGAAACAATGTTTCACTAAATTAATGTCTGCGAATGTTTGTTCCCAACATTTCTGATTCTCTGTCATTTCGTTTCTTTGTCACGAGGTGTGACATTACTTCTTTATTTAATTTTTCACGTAAGCTATATATCATCTGCAAACTATCTTCAAGAATCTTTATGCACTGTTTACAAATATAAGTGGCTCCTTTACTACCTTTAACTTCCAAGACAAAATCTGAAGCCCGCCGAAAATACGTAGAAACGCTGCGAGTACGTCGGCTATCGTCGACTTTGTCAAAACGTATTACATTTCCCCCAGAACTGCCATATCGTTTGTCAAATTCAATTGTAAAATCTCCAATCAAACCTTTGGGCAAATTGTATTCAGTTTGGTATTTGGCCAAACTGCTTTTATCCATTCCAAAAACCTCTTGCTGGGACAGGATTTCTCGTTTTAGGATCTCCTTTCTCTCACCAATGGTTTTAGCTGTCGAAGCTAAGAGCCCTTTTTCTTTTATTCTTCTCTCCAAAAATTCTTTTTGTAAATTCATAACGTCGTCCGTATGCTTCAGGTTGAAAGAAAAGGGAATGTCTCCAATTTTTGCGGACTCAGCAGCAAGCAGAAGTTGGTCTTTCAAATCCTCAAACTCGAAGAAGTTATTAAAACTATCATCAGTATCAACAAGGAATATTTTTGGATCGGTTACTTCATACGTTTTAAGGTTCAGCTTACAATTATTCCTTATCTCTTCTAAAACTTGTGACTTGTTTTTCCTTAAGGTTGCTAGTTTGGTTCCATCAACACATCTTCTGATACAAGTACGAACAAAAAAACATGGCTTCCTCTTTTGTAGAACTTCTTTAATGAACCAATTATCAGACTCCATGAAGCTTTTCTCTGACAATATCAAGAAGAAGTCGTACCGATCAAAGCCAATGGCATTTCGATCAGTGATCTGTTTGGTGTCTTGTATTTTCTGTCCAGGAAGTTCCCATAGGTTAACATTAGGATTTTCAGGAAAGTCATATTTCATCACTCGGTTATTTGTTACACTATCGTCTACGACTGCAGCCCCCGTTTTAGTAGATGAAACATTTTTGAGGCGGTTGATAACAGAAGATTTACCTGACTTAGGTTGACCAATTACCGCTATATTGATTTTCATAGATTGTCCTTTCATTGAACCAGGGTGTAATTTCAGCTCTTTTTCAATTTCTAATGCGTCGTCGATTTCGTCACTAGTTTTCGTAATGTTCACTGAACAAGCAGCCATACTGAAGATGCTAACTAAAACAGAAAACAAACAATTTTGAATTATAATATTAAGAATTTTGGTTCTGTTGTTCAGGAACCTTGTTAAGTAAATTTAACTTTTATTCATCGTATAGTGGTATGTGAGTTATTATAACTAATTTATCAATTTTGCATGTGACATAGTTTTTGATTTTTATTAACGCCCTTAAAGGAATGGTCGCAAATGTGTGTTAAATATACAGTAAATAGTTTCGGTTGAAGTTAAATCTATAATGAACCTTTGGTCATCGATGCTCGGGGATTAATCAGTAAGGTCAGTGATATCCCTGTATGAATGGATGTGTCGGAAAGTCATCAATTCTTAAAATGTAAGTAACCTCTGCATGCATTTAATAACGCCCCGTTCACAGCTCACTGAATACACTCACATTACTTCAAACAAAATGCTAATATGCTCCCTTCCCAGCTTACTAAATACACTCACGTTACTTCATACAAAATGCCAATACGCTCCCGTCGCAGCTCACGGAATACACTCACGTTATTGCACAGTATTTTTTTCTGTATATAACTACTACCCTAAAAGGGTACTGTTCCCAACAGAAAATAGACATTAAAATCCCCAATTTCTAATGTGTTAATTCCCAAAATGGCTGTTCAAAATTCCCACAAGGCCAAGTGATTTCTCTGAAATAATTTAATTCAACACATTCATATAAATCACCACTCAATAGTTCTACCTGAACAATGGAAGCTATTAGCTATTGTTATTAATGATGACTACTAGTAATCTTATTTGTAGCTGAAAAAATGCATAAAAATCCCAATTTAAGTCAAAATAACACATTTTTCCCAATCAGTCTGGTACCGGCACCATTCCCAAAGTAGAGAAAAAAACGCTACTTCATACAAAATGCTAATACGCTCCCTTCGCAGCTCACGGAATACACTCACGTTACTTCATACACGTTACTTCATACAAACTGCCAAAATACTCCCTTCCCAGCTTACTGAATACACTCACGTTACTTCACACATAATGCTAATATGCTCTATCCTCAGCTTCCTGAATACATTCACGTTACTTCATACAAAATGCTAATATGCTCCCTTCCCAGCTTACTGAATACACTCACGTTACTTCATACAAAATGCTAATACGCTCCCGTCGCAGCTCACGGAATACACTCACGTTATTTCACAGTGTTTTTTCTGTATATAACTACTACCCTAAAAGGGTACTGTTCCCAATAGAAAATAGACATTAAAATTCCCAATTTCTAATGTTAATTCCCAAAATGGCTGTTCAAAATTCCCACAAGGCCAAGTGATTTCTCTGAAATCATTTGATTCAACATCATATAAATCACCACTCAATAGTTCTACCTGAACAATGGAAGCTCTTAGCTATTTTTATTAATGACGACTACTAGTAATCTTATTTGTAGCTGAAAAATGGATAAAAAAATTCCCAATTTAAGTCAAAATAACACATTTTTCCCAATCAGTCTGGTACCGGCACCATTCCCAAAGTAGAGAAAAAAAAACGCTACTTCATACAAAATGCTAATACGCTCCCTTCGCAGCTCACGGAATACACTCACGTTACTTCATACACATTACTTCATACAAACGACCAATAGGCTCCCTTCCCAGCTTACTGAATACACTCACGTTACTTCACACCTAATGCTAATATGCTCCATTCCCAGCTTCCTGAATACACTCACGTTACTTCACACCTAATGCTAATATGCTCCATTCCCAGCTTCCTGAATACACTCACGTTACTTCACACCTAATGCTAATATGCTCCCTTCCCAGCTTCCTGAATACACACACGTTACTTCACACCTAATGCTAATATGCTTCATTCCCAGCTTCCTGAATACACTCACGTTACTTCACACAAAATGCTAATATGCTTCTTTCCCCGCTTCCTGAATAATACACTCACGTTACTTCATACAAAATGCTAATTCGCTCCCTTCCCAGCTCACGGAATACACTCACGTTACTTTAGACAAAATTCTAATACGCTTCCTTCCCAGCTTACTGAATACACCCACGTTACTTCATACAAAATGATAATACAAATGCTAATGCTCCCTTCCCGGCTGACTTGAGCGATAGTGAAACATTTGACCGATGCGCGGGAAAGTAGTATTTAAGGGTCAGCGTCAAGGTTAAATATAATCTATATATTTTATGCCTGTTAAAGTTTACAAGTGTGTAAAATGTTCTTGTCGTGATGGTCCACTGTTTGTCCCAGTACATATCACATCATTATCGATGATGTAACAAAGACTTTTGACATTTTATTTCACCCAAATATTGCTTTGAAAACGTGTCGTGCCAATCCCTATTGCTAGCAAGAGATCCATATATCTAACCTCCCTCCCACCATAATATTCAACGGGACTTCTTAACCCTATGAAGATCTCAAAACAGAAACATAATAATAATAATAATAATAATGATAATAATAATGGAAATAAAATAATATTAATAAAAATAATAATAATAAAACATATAACTAGAAGTCTTTTTGTCATAAAAAACATATGTCTCCCAAAACTATGTATGGCCACTCATGTGAAGTTTAATTGAAGTTTGGTTGAAATTCCACCAGTAGTTTGACCTGCGAAGGCCGACAAGATATTTCTATTATAAGCTCTGGAGGCCATTTAGTGCAGCGAAGCGAAAATCGCCGGTGACGTGCACAACAAGAGATGGTACTTATCACTTCTGTAAAGTTTGGTTGAAATTCAAGCAGTAGTTTAACCTGTCAAGGCCGGAGAAGCTTAATGCGACCGGACGGACAACCAACGGATGAACGGACGGACAAACAAAAACAACATGTCTCCAAAAAATTTTGGGAGACATAATAATAATAATAATAATAATAATAATAATGATAATGATTAAAAACTCAAGTAACAAACTAAATCAACAAATAAATACCTTGATGTGCTCCTTTGTTCCGTTTGAATGTGAAACAAGAAATGCGGTTTTCCCCCGAATTTTGCAGGGGATCTCCGTTTTAGTTATTTTCAGAAAATTAAGCTTATGTCACGTGTGTGACTCATTTAAGAGATAAATGTTGATCACTTCCTCTATATGAAGACATACTTAATCGCATCTAAGTTTTATCTCGTATACTTTATCACCACCATTAACTCAATTTTTCCCGTAATGCTCCGGTAATGGATCTCATACCCCCATAAAAAAAGAAAAACATGTGCGGTTAAAATTAAACAATGATTAACTACAGTGGAGCGTTTTATTGAATTAGACTGTTACTAGTAACTGTATACTGATCTGATTATACAGTCAATCTTCGGAGGATATTCGGTAATGTTCATAAGATGTACACAATAAGATGCGTTTATATTTAATATGTGTTTGTATAACATTCATTAAATGGTTAAAAGCGCAATAGGGTAAATAAACTACGGTTTAATGATTTCTTCATGTCCTTCGTGTTGTGATATCGAGACCACGTAGCTCAATGTCTTTATGTATGTTTCCAAATTATTGAAGCTATTAGACTACGTTTAGTGTCAGTTTGGTGTTTTTAGGTTGTTGTTTCTTTCTCAGAATGTTTTGCATTAATATTTCTAGTTACTTCCTTAAAATTTACAATATTTAAAAATAAACATCAATTATCCAGTCCAACAGAGGTAATTTATGCTGATTCCATTCAGCAGAGTACAATACGAAACAAGACAAAGCAGTGTATTTGAGTTGTTTAACATGTTCAGTTTACCAACAGTAAAGCAAAGAAAACAAACTAATAAAGAAAGTCAAACACAGCGAATTCGAAAATAAAATGTTGCAGGCTCGGTTTGATTGAACCGGTTCATTGACGGTAGCGGTAATTGCAAGCTACCGTTCGACCACAAGCCTCTGTCATATTACATAATTAAAAAACCAATGTGCCATTGCGGATCCGCATACATGCGATGGCGATTATTATTTAATGATACGGATTAGAAATTCCAAAAGTTTTAAGGCTCTTCTTTTGAGCAATATAAGACACAGAGCTCTTGCACAAGGGGGATGGCCTCGAGAGGTCCGCATGTCACTTTCGTTTTTTTGTATGGATGATTTATTCTGTCTGTATATAAAGTATATACCAGTACATCCTTTTCTGTAGCAAATCGTTACAACACTATTTGCCTTAGTTCCTTTTTACAAAAATAAATGGCAAAAAGCTCTTACCTAAGGGAAATGGCCACAAGAGGTTCAGAGGCAATTTGTTCTTTCTCTTTACCCTTAGATCGACAGCAAAATTAAGCAAGCATTTTTGCAGAGGCTCAACCCTTCTGAAACTGTGGTCTATAATATTTGAATGTGACATAAACCTGTCCGTTAATCTTAGTTTCAGAATGGTTGAGTCTCTGTGAACATGCTGGCAAATTTGTCAGTCAATCTAAGTTACCCTTAAAACAAAAATGCTATGCGGGCCTCCTTTGTGGCCATTTCTCTCAGGTTAGAGCTTTATAATAATAATAATTACCACATTTTTATAGCGCCCTTCTCAAAAAATAAAATGTTTAAAGGCGCTTTACAATGGAATTATATACATTTACAATGACTTTAAAAACAAAAAAAGTAATAAAAATAATAACACACATATATGTATACATTTACAAAATATAAAATATGCCATGATTAATCTAAAAGTCTAAAACTCAGTCGATCAAATAAAAAAAATGTACATGAAGAATAATCTAAGACTTGAAAATTAAATAAAGAGAAACGTTAAAACTATTAAAATTAAAAAAAAATACAAATCAAGATAAGACAACTGAAATCTAAATCCAATTTGATAAAACATTAATCAATAATTGAAATGTGATTCAAAAATAGACTATAATATTTCAAATGTGTACCCAGATATCTCATAACATCTACAGTTTTTTGAGTCTCTGGTACTGTCTGGGAGAGCATTCCACAGTTTTGGTGCCACCGAAGAGAAACTGCGTTCACCATATCTTACAGTCCTACTTTTGGGAATAACAAGTTGCTTTGAAGAGTTCTTTGATCTTAAGTTTCTTGTTGGTTGATTAAGATAAATTGGTGACTGGTCATGTAGGGCTTTATAAGTTTGCATAAGGATTTTAAAATCTACTCGGTAAACCACAGGAATCCAGTGTAGTTTCTTCAATACTGGAGTGATATGTTCAAATCTGGATGTTCCTGTGATGATGCGGGCAGCAGTATTTTGAAGATGTTGTAGTTTATTCAATGTCGTTTTAGGTACACCATATAAAAGTGCATTACAATAATCCATGCGTGAGGTGACTAAAGAATTCACTAAAGATTTTGTTGCATCAGTATTCAGGTGTTTCCTTATATGACCAATCTGGCATAGTTGTCCATAACAAGATCTACAAACTGAGTTAATGTGCTTTTCCAGGGTCATGTTGTTGTCCAATACAGCACCAGGATTTCGTACACTATTTGATGGTTTTATGTTTTCATCTCCGATAGTCACAGTTATGGTCTCAACATGCTGTTGGTTTCTCTGAGATGTAAATATAATTACTTCTGTCTTGTCAGCATTGATTTTTAACATATTATTGTTCATGCATGTTACTATTTCAGCAAGACAGCTTTTAACTCGATCTAAAGAGTCATTCTTAGAGACTGGACATGTTGGTTTAAAGGAGAGGTACAGTTGTCCATCGTCTGCATAATAATGATATTCCAATCCATGTTTCTTACATATTGCACCAACAGGTTTAGTGTACATAGTAAAAAAATTTGGTCCCAGAACGGATCCTTGAGACACACTGTAGCTCAATTAGACTGGGTTTGACAGTTCACCATTTATTGTGACAGTCTGGTGTCGATCACTTAGATATGAACATATCCATTCTAACGGTTTTCCAGAAATGCCAAAGTCGGTGTTAAGGAGCTGTAGAAGTGTAATGTGGTCGATTGTATCGAATGCAGCTGATAAGTCCAGCATAACTTACATGGTAACATCGTTGTTGTCTAGTGAATTCAATATATCATTTTGAACTTTTATAAGTGCTGTTTCAGTTGAATGGAATTTTTTATATGCAGATTGATGCTATATAACGAAGAACCTCCAAAGTAATGCGACGGCCAGACAAATCAGACGAATGGTAATTGAACGGTTGGTGCCAGAAAATGATGTTTTCATTTACAAAAAACATTTTACATTGCGATCTTTTGTGACAACGCGCTCTTTGGAACACGATTGTACAATAATTACGGCATGTACGGTGAATCATGTAAGAATGAACGCTACATGAACGCTACATACTTATAATTCCAACACATTGTAAATAGCGATTTTCATAGTCTGGCCGCCGAGTAGCAAAACAATTATTGTCAGTTCAATTCAGTTGAAGGTTGTGGGATATCTGTCCAGTTTGAACACCTAAACCTAGATTTTGTGTCTTTAAATAAAACAATGAATACAACAGGGTCTCTGTATATGTAATATAAGGCAACATTTTTCATTCTAAATTACTTTCAATTTAGGCTTTTTATGCCCCCGAAGGGAGGCATAATATAATCGCACGTCTGTCTGTCCGTCTGTCCCACTTCATTCGTGTCTGGACTGTAACTTTGTCATACATTGAGGGATTTTGAAATAACTTGGCACAAATGTCTACCACATCAAGACGATGTGTCGCGTCCAAGAACCACGTCCCTACCTCAAAGGTCAGGGTCACACTATCATTTTGAAGCTCATTTTATCACAATTAGAGTTTATAGGTACACACATTCGTGTCGGGCTGAAACTTTTGTCATGCATTGAATGATTTTAAAATAACTAGGCATAAATGTCTACCACATCAGGACGACATGTCGCGACAAAGACACATGTCCCTACCTTCAAGGTCAAGGTCACACTTATAGTTTGAAGGTACTCATTTTCTCGAGATGTGTCGCGCACTTACACAACAATCATGTCCAGACTATAACTTTGTCATGCATTGAGGGATTTTTAAATAATTTGGCACAAATGTGTATCTCATAACAACTTTTTTTGTCGCGCCCAGGAACCACGTCCCTTCTTCAAAGGTCAAGGTCACACTTATATTTTGAAGGACAGCTATCACAATTAGAGATTACAGGTACAATAATACAAAGAACAATATTCAGCAATAAGTTACTTTCATTCTCTTTTCTTTTCATAATAACTGCATGCTTAATGCCAATTAATATCAGTTTTTCATAAAACACGTGCACCACTTTCTTTGAATTTTTGGTACATCTGAATTGTAGGCTGTAGTTTCATATACATATGAGCCGCGTCACGACAAAACCATCATAATGGGTTTGCGACCAGCATGGATCCAGACCAGCATGCGCTTCCGCGCAGTCTGATCAGGATCCATGCTGTTCGCTTACCAACTCTATATCAAGTAGAGAAACCGATAGCGAACAGCATGGATCCTGATCAGACTGCGCGGATGCAAAGACTGGTCTGGATCCATGCTGGTCGCAAACCCATTATGTTGGTTTTGCCGTGACACGGCTCATATTTCTTATTGTTATCTATGATTCAAATATAAGTAATATAACAGCTTATTATAGTATTTAATATTAATCGAATTGTTGCTGTTCAAAATATTAAGCTTTTGCATGCATTTATAAATCAGTTACCTGATAAGATATATGATTTTGTAAAAAAAATACCTGTTTGCACCTACCCGTTCTAAATATGTCAAATGTACAAAATCATCCTGTGCATTAATTTTAACAAATCTGTTTTCATTATTTCGCAATTTTTAAAAAGTTGTGATTTTAAAGTAGCGGCATATGTAATACTTTTTCTATACTATTTATACAAAATGTATTTACATAGACCATATAGGTTAAAACAATCCAGAAACGATTTTTGATTTTACTTATAATCTATTTACTTAACAGTTTTCCTAGTTAAGATCTTTATTTATATTTAATTTAAACAATATGCTCACTAGCTTATAACATTTGCTTTTGTTTTAAAGGAAAACATAGGCAAAATTTTCATATCTTCGATTTGAATTTTTCATCCGATATTCTATAAATGTCTATTAAATGAATATACTAAGCTGTCTAGGGAACAAAAATTGTCTCCATAGAAAGAAAGAAAATGTTGGTTTCCTAACCTGACCCAGGTGGGTCAAGTTAGAGCATTTAGATTTCACGATAGTTATCACAGTGAACT